TAACCCTGTTCCTCATCAGACTTGTTTTTCGGAACTGTTCCCGAACCAATTTTTTTAGAAATGAGTAAGCCTTTGTTTATGCTCTTTAGAAGTTGAAGCAAGCTTTTGGGGTGTTATGAGACATAATGCTCCAGGTTTAGGTGACTGTAGAAAAAATACTCCGGGAAACGGTGGAAAATACTCGGGGCTTAAGGAGTTATGTCTCTTTAAAGTTGGATAGTGCAGTCATAATATGCCATCATGTCAGCGTGTCTAAGATAATGTTTCTGTGTGGGTGTCGGGTGTTCTGGTGTGGTTTGCTTCTTCTTCCCTTTCAAACACCTATTGTCTTTATCGCCCCTCCGTTTTTGTGTTTGTTACTCTCTTGCAACACCTGTAATGTTCGGCATTTATATGACCTTATTGTGTTGCAAGTGCCGTAAAACTCTTTACTAAAACCAAACTGTTTCTGTGTGTACAGGCCAACATGTCTCAACCGGATCAGTACGACCCCCCCGACAAAGACTTCATGATTGTTGCACTGGACCTGCTGTCTGGCCTGGCTGAGGGCCTGGAGGGTCACATCGAGGGGCTGGTGGCCAACAGCAACATACTCAAGCTGCTCTTCCAGTGCATGCAGGTAAACACATGTAGCATTAAAAGATGTAGCGTGGTTACATTTTTTTTCAAATATTCAAAACTCTCTTGGAGTTAAGAGTGTCACAGCGAAACCAAGTTTTCAATTTCACATCATGTGCAACTAAATTAACATGCACACTTGGTTTAAAGTTTCTTTGATTGATCAGCGTTTTTTATCCCTATAGATTAGAATTTTTTGCTGTTGTAGAAATCTAAATGTATGTGTTGTATCTGCCCAGGACCCAATGCCAGAAGTGCGCCAGAGTTCTTTTGCTCTTCTTGGGGACCTCACCAAAGCTTGTTTCCAGCATGTGCGACCATTTATTTGTAAGTTGTTCTCTTCAGTTTATTTGTAGATTCTCCTGTTGCATGTTTTACTAGCCTCAGCTCGTGAACTACAATTTAAGTATGGTCGCATGTTCACAGATGTCTGTCAGTATGTGCTACCTAGTATGGGACTGGAAGTGATGACAGCTTTGAGCATTGACACTTAATGATGTTTGCTAGTATTCGTACTGTCTGATCTGGAAACCTGAATAGAGGTGCATAAAACATCTTTTTTTCTGTCAAGTTGGTAGTGACATTCAAATAGTTTAAGACACTTGTTTTTGTACTGAATTAAGCACTCCCTACTAAAGTAGTATGTTGACACATACTTTTTGAATAAATGGAATTAAAATGCGAAATAAATTGATTAATACAGTTTAAAAAACCCACAAAACAATACACAAAAGAGAACCCAGGGGCAGTTGCACATAAAGTCCCTTTTGAAGATCCAGGGGACCCTCCTCCCCCCTC